GTATGTATGTATAGATAGATAGATAGATAGATAGATAAACATAAATTAAAATTTGTTGGATAAAACAATGGATTTATTTATTTTTGTTTTTAGATACTAGATATTTTTGTATGATACCTTGTGCTGTTTAATGACTTGTGTTTCATTGGGGCACGTTGACACAAAAAGTCAACTGTATCGTCACAATTAATATAGGGTTTTGGCAAAATAAAAATGGGGACAAAAAAAAGAGGTTGTGATTATATTTTGTCTATATTCTCTAGGTTGTATATAAGTGGTGTTCAGTAGTGTTTAGAACAAGCACTTGTCAGACTTTCAGAAAGAGCAAATCATAGGAGCCCAGGCACATTTATCGTTTTAATCCGAGCCCACTCATTGTTTTAATCATACGCTAGATTTAATTATATCGCATCGATGATGCCAACCCTGAAACAACATACAGAACTACCAAATTGACCAAATCGGCTGTGAAAGAAACAGAAAGTGAATGGCAGAGACTATTGTACTCTAAGAAGAATTGTGTCCAGACAACACAGAATTACTGCTCCAAATGGACAGCAAACCTCAGTATTCACCTTAAGGATCTGTTTCCAGAAAAAACAAAGCCAATATCCATGAAAGAGCTGCAACTGCTAAAAATTGAAACAAAGAATACCAGTGCTATAATGTGAAAGAGATGGTGCCATGACAGTTGGAGCACCAAGATGAATATCTGCCCTGGCTAGACAAATCACCTGACCCGAATGTTATCACACCACTGTAGGCAGTTTTGGAGAGAAGAGTGAGAATCCGATTCCCTCCTCATCTCAACATCTCTAAAGCAGTATTCAGCTGGAGCCCATTCAAATGCTGTATGAATCTATAATCTATCTAAAAGTTGAAAGCTAATAGCAAATGGTGGTAAAACACCTTAATAAATCAATAAATATTGCCTATTTCCCATGTGTTCACATTATTTTTTCCGACCCCTATGTTTCTTGTGATCTTGAAAACCGTTTGATCTAAAGGTGTCTGCTTAAATGCCTGAAATTAGTTCCCAGCATACATGATGTGAGTACTGTTAAATATCTAAGCATGCACCTAATGAAGCTGATTGAGTGAATAAGTGTGCAGTGCTAGAATAAACAAAGAAAAAACTGAAAAATTCTGAAGTTTTTATTGGTTTAATATTTTGAACAAACATATTTTTTACTTCACATTTTTGATGACTTTACAAGAAGCACCATCCTGCATCTCTTCTTCTTCTTCTTCTTCGTTTAATGGCGGTTGGCAACCAACAATGAGGTGCATTACCGCTGAGTCAACTACCTCCCAGATAATAATAATAATAATAGATTCTTAAATTCTGGTAATTAAGCCAGTTCTTCTCAGGTAGTTAATTAAACTTTCATTATTATGACCAATAAGTATATCTTTAATGCTAACTTCTAGAGAACTTTGATTCCTAATTTCTTTAAGAATGTTTCTCTTTCTGTGATGTACTTGTATGTGATCCACTGATTCCATACTTTAGGAGGATTCTATAATAATCCTGGATTCTATTATAATGTCTACCTTCCCTATCCCAGTTACATTGCCATTCCTTTATAATATTTCGACACACTGTTTCCCTTTTTTAATACTGTAAAGCTGCTTTGACACAATCTGCATTGTAAAAAAGCGCTATATATATACAACAGCGACTTGACTTGACTTATATCCTGCATCTCCTGCAGCTCATCCAAGGAAAAGGCTCGTGACGTCGCCAGCAGCTGGAGCCGGATATCCGCCACGACCGGATAAATCCCATATTTGGGCATTCTTAGCAGGAGCAATGGCAGCTTACATTGTGTGCGAACGGCTAGCTTGACGCTGATTGTGTAGTGTAAACGATCGATTTTTAGAATTTTCAACCCATGATCGAGACGGATGAGTGGCGGATTGGAACGTATATATTTTTGAAAATGTCAAAAACCAAGTGCTAGCGACCGCTCCGTCAAACCACCACCAAGCCGAAACCACTTCGCACGGCGTTAGCATCCCCCACATCGTTTGCGTATTTTCTCGCTATTCGCAACTCCCCTGACTCTCACCCGGTATCAGTCGCTCTCCATGCCCGAGGATGAACAGCTTCTCCCTCGGCGAGTTGTGCTGGCTCTTCTGCTGCCCGCCGTGTCCGAGTCGCATCGCGGCTAAGCTGGCGTTCTTGCCGCCTGAGCCCACCTACTCCGTCCACACAGACGCGAGCGGCGCGACGAGCCTGCATCTCACCGAGCGCGCCGACTGGCAGTACTCCCAGCGCGAGCTGGACGCCGTCGAGGTGCTGGTGACCCGAACCAGCCGCGGAAACCGGGTCGGCTGCATGTTCGTCCGCTGCGCGCCCGCTAGCCGCTACACGCTGCTGTTCTCCCACGGGAACGCCGTGGATCTGGGCCAGATGTGCAGCTTCTACATCGGACTCGGCTCCAGGATCAACTGCAACGTGTTCTCCTATGATTACTCGGGTTACGGGGTCAGTACCGGGAAACCGTCCGAGAAGAACCTATACGCTGATATCGAAGCGGCCTGGCAGGTGCTGAGGAACAAGTGAGTGTTTCTGAGCAGGTGCTTCTGTGTTTGAGCGCCAGTACCAATTGTTCTGTGATTGTGTGGTGTTTCCATGCATATGAATTCCAGCACTACTGTTTTCGTTATAAATACATGGATGCATGCATCCTATTTCATTATATGTGACCCTGGACCACAAAACCAGTCATAAAGGTAAATTTTTTTGAAATGGAAAAAAGTGCAAAAAATCAAAATATTGAGAAAATTGCCTATCAAGTTGTCCAAATGAAGTTCTTAGCAATGCATATTACTAATCAAAAATTAAGTTTTGATTTATTTCAGGTAGGAAATTTACAAAAAATCTTAATGGAACATGATCTTTTCTTAATATTCTAATGATTTTTGGCATAAAAGAAAAAAAAAAATTGACCCATACAATGTATTTTTGGCTATTGCTACAAATATACCCATGCTACTTATGACTGGTTTTGATGTCCAGGGTCACATATTAGGTTTTCTTTTAAAGAGATAAACTGGTAATTAGTTTGACTGAAATTTACAAACTGATATTTACAAGCAAAAGCAGGGCTTTCAATTATCATTGCATTTAAACAGATTATGCGTTGTTATTAGGCTACTTGTAAAATATACACATTTTAAATAGTAGTATGCCAAAAATAATAAACAAATAAATATATTCTGCATGTCAGCTTTTGGATGCTCCATCATGAAATTATTGGTATTGGTCAATCTCTGTTATTGGTTCTGTTATATTATTTAGTATCCTGCTGGTTTAAATACTTGAATCCTCTTTGTACCAGCCCACTTTTTTTTCTAACTTGAACTGAGTGGTGACATAACTAAATAAGTTGTTGCATAACCACATGTCACATCACTGACTGTCAGTCTTAATAGATTTAATTTTAACAGCGATTTGAAAATTAGGTTGACTGATTTGTGTTTTTCTTTAGCAGGTGCTGATACCGATATCTAAAGCAGGGTGGCTGATAAAATGCCAATGTGAATCAATTTAATGATAACAAATTAGTTGTAAACAACCTTATTAAAGTGAATGTGCATTTTACAAAACATTTACTTAATATTCACAGAGAAAAAAATTAATAAATACAAATTATTCAATGACTTGTTGAAGCTAATATATATAAGCCAAGTTGAATTTGGGGAAAGTGGGAAGGTAACCGATTTGGTTAATCAATTTGGTCGATCAGTCTGTCACCAGAAGTTATCAATATAATTTGTAGTACAGTCTGGTGAAAATAAAGCATCTGGGCCTTTGCATAATGTGATATATGCTGGTTGGATGATGACAATCTGGCTCCATATTGGTGGAAAAGGGGTAATAGGCTTGTTTGACTATAGGCTCTGACTTTTTTGCATTTTCTTTGTTGATTTTGGGAGAAAATCTGAGGAATTTTGTGTCAAGAATTTAAATATAATTTTTTTTTAAATGGAACTTAATGTGAAGCATAATCAAATTAGCTAAAGTATTTAAAGTTTAGAACTTGTCAGAAGTTCTTTCTGCTGAAAAATCTGTATCAGAGTTTCTGCTGAAATTTCCGCAGAATTCTGTGGGCACAGATTCCGTGTGGGCTTGTGTGTGATCACCGCCTGTATACTGAATGGTCATTCCGGGTATCTGCTGGTCGTTCATGCTGATTCAGCTCTTTGGTCATTAGAAGAAGTTGAGGACTGCAGGCATCACATGATCCACATGAGTATTATCTCACTACATTGAACCAAGAAAACCTTTGATTGTACCTTTGGCTAAACTGATCAGTTAATCAGTTTGAACAACAACTGACCTCATGTTTTGGTCCATGGATGGTATTTTAACCATTGGACTTTCTCCTGACCAAACAGAATAGCTTATGTTGTCTTCCAGAGGCAATCCAAGACAAAATGCCAATAGAGACTAATGATTTATAACTTGTTAAGATCTGTTAACAAACTCATTAGAAGGTTGTGTTTCTGGCAGATTGAAGACGATTCCATAAAGTGCCTTGTCTTTAATAATACATAACAGGAGATGTTTACACTGGAGAGTGTAAGTGTCTGTAATTATTTTTGAAGTAGGAACATGATCATTTGTTCACGCATCTGGCAGTGGTTATGTTGTCTAATGAGCAATGGAGGCTGGTTGAATGCGAAATATGAATGGTTTGTTTGGTTGCTCTGCAGGCAGGATTTTAAGGCACATATGCATGCTTGTTTTGGCAAAATTTTAATGAAGCCTTGTATTAGGGCTGCACGATAAATCGCATGTGATATTTAACGCGCATCTTATCAGTAAAGCCGGTTCTGTAATCAGCGGTAAATCTCCATCACGTGCGTGCTTTCACATTGAGCAGCATTAACTACACAGAGCCGTTGTTCACTGATGAGCTGCGCAAAACCACGTTCATATTCGCGCGATTTTTTGCGCAGCTCGTCTGTGAACAAAGGCTCTGTGTAGTTAATGCTGCTCAATGTGAAAGCACGCACGTGATGGAGATTTACCGCTGATTACAGAACCGGTTTTCTGACAAGATGCGCGTTAAATATCGCATGCGATTTATCGTGCAGCCCTACCTTGTATTTATTTTCAAGTAGAAGCCAATACATTATGCTCAGTGGAAAACCAGTGTGCACCAAGACATAATCTTCAATTTTATTTATGCAATGCTTAGTTGAAAATGGCCTGTTTTGCTTCGATATTTTTGTGTGCTGTGCTTGTATGTTTTTTATTGCATTGCATTATTAGCAACATCCTAACTCCATTGTCTATTGAAATCAATTGTGAGTTCTGTCTCTTGTGCGCTTTGCGTGAGAATTGCTGTTTGTGTGACGTGCAGAGTAGCTGTCTATGGAAGTTCACTAGTATTACTTCAAAAATAGCTTCATCACACCAGAAGCTACTTCTGATGAACTGTAGCTGTTTTTCCTTCAGTGTTTAATGGCTATCCTGGGGTTACTGGTGCTAGTTTGTCAGTCAAGCTTTCCAGAAAACCATTAGGAAATAAAGCATTTTCATTATGGCCATAAGGAAGCTCAAATACTGCTTCGTAGCAGTAATCAATTATTTATAGAGTTTGTTTCTTAGTTAGTAGGTTCCTGTTTCTACTATAAATTCTGTATAATGTTGAAACCGAAATTTGCAGAGAGCAGAAGTAGTGTTTTATTTTTAGGATGCACTCTTTGCAGTTTTTCCTTTACGGAGTTATTCTAGTTAACTAAAACTGAAAACCATAAAAAATCACTTGAAATAAACTGAAAGAAAATGATCTCAACTTTTTATTTTAGTTAGTTGTCAAGGTAACATTTCTCATTTTCTCTAAGTTTAACTTAATGTACTAAAATAACTAAAACTGAAACCAAAACTATATAGAAATGTCAACTATATAGACATAAAAAAAACTAACAAAATGACAAACTTAAAAAATAACCAAAATGAAAACAGTACATCTAAAAATAAAAACTAATTGAAAATATAAATTATTCATATTAATGATAGTAACATAATACAGGTTTTTCAAGGGTACTAACTAAGTGCTGCTCCTTTAGAGTTTTCATCCAAACTCTAAGCAACATCTTGAACATGAGTCCATGTCAACTATATAGACATAAACAAAACTAACAAAATGACAAACTTAAAAAATAAGCAAAATGAAAACAGTACATCTAAAAATAAAAACTAATTGAAAATATAAATTATTCATATTAATGATAGTAACATAATACAGGTTTTTCAAGGGTACTAACTAAGTGCTGCTCCTTTAGAGTTTTCATCCAAACTCTAAGCAACATCTTGAACATGAGTCCCATATGAAAATGAGTTTAACTGTGATTGAGAATCTGCCTTTTCTCTGTGACTTTGTCCAGGAATATAGGCTAGTCAACGCAAATGCAAAATTTTGGATGCAAATGTACTTGTGCTTTATGAATTGCAGGCTAAAGTGCTTGCATAGCTTGAAATGTTTGCATGTGTATATACGTGCTGCTTGTATTTAGGGATGTGCGGGTCTAGTCGACTAAATGGTACAGCTCCTACTAGTCGACACTGAAAACAATAGTCGATTACACGACAGAAAAAAAAAACAGGATTTTATCATTCACATTACCATCATTTTAACATTGCATTTAAAACATTTTAAATAACAAGTTTAAATAAAACGTTAGAAAAATAATACATTATTTTAAAAAGTTTATATGGGTGGAAACTACATTTTTACCTCAGACCTCACATGCGTTTTCTTCGTCAGTTGCGGCGAGTTCAAAATCCTCAAATGAAGACCCACTTCGGTGGTGGTGCGGGACGTCCAGGCGCTTTCTGAAACTTTATCGACTTGCTTTTCGTTATCTCTGCGTGCCTGCGACTTCAGTTCCTGCCGAGCGTGTTTTTTCAAGTGCAGGAATTTTATTGTTAATCGCCGCAGGTCCCGTCTTTCACCAGACCACGTTGATAATTTCACTGAACAAATAACGCATGGTCTGAGTAAGTAAAATGGGCATTGTTGCATTGTTTTGTTTTTAGACAATATAGCCTACACGAAGTATGTTTTTAAAAGCCGTTTTAATGCTATTTCTTGATAAACCTTCCTATTGTTTTTGACTTGTGTTTTAATATGTTGGCTAACGTTATATGAAGATTAAGAATTCTGTCAGGCTGTTGATTGATTTTCCATTGTTCTGCATTTCCCCAGCTGATTTGAATAAATAAGCTATGCTTTGACCGACGTTGAGTGTATGCTCTTCTTTTATTTCTTTTTAACGACCACCTAAAATGAAATGATAACGCGAGGCAAGTGCCGGCAAGCGGAATTCATTGAGGGATTCGACATTGTGATTCATAGATTAAGTATTTCAAATATAGGCTATTATATATGCTACACGCACGCACAGAGGTTTTTTTTTCTTACCATCATTTGGGGGTTTCTTGCTTTTAGACTAGTTGGATACAAAACTTTCGTTTAAACAACAGTCAAATTAGTCGTCGCGCACATCCCTACTTGTATTATATTTTTATCCTTAAATGCCATTTCCTCCTGTGTTTACTCTCTTTAATGGTGGCACTTGCAGAACTTTCTGTGTAATTACTGTACTGTGTGCAGTAGCCCTTCAGTTTGACTCGCTTTAACCTTCCACTGTGCTGCCAGCTCTACCCTGAAATTGATCTGGTGATGTACTGAGTGTTGAAGTACTCATATGGCAGGGTAAATTAACTCTGAGCCTCTTGTACGTTTGCTTGGACAACAGTAGTAAGTGACGGCATTCTCTGTAGGTTCCACAGGATGTGCAAACTTTTGCTGAACGTTAATGTCGTGTTTATTTGGTGATGCAAAGATCATAATCGTACTGAACTGTATTTCAGAGTTGACAAAGTAATCTAAAATTCATTGGATTGTGAAATTAGTTTTAATATTAGATGAATGCCAGAAACAACAGTCCGAGGATCTTGCGTTCTGCTGCATTAGGAAGCCAGTAAAATATGAATGTATAAACATGGTCTTTTTGAAAATTGTTTTAAGTTCTCCAATGCTATTGGATGGAACGTCAAACATCATGTTTTGGAGAAATGCAATTGGAAATGTCGTTATTCCAGTCGCTTGGAGAAATAGCGCACCAATAACAAGCTATTAATGTCTATAGCAAAAAACGTTGCAGTGTGAGTTACATGATGAAGTTTAATATTTCAGGTTTGGGATCTGCAGCTTAGGCAGTAGTTATGCTTACTATGAGTTTAATGTAGGGGTGTAACGGTTCACTCGTTTTATCGATGCATCGATTACAAACCCTGACGATGCATATGCATCGATCTTGAAACATGATTTTTGAATCGTGAATCGTCAAGACATATTTTTTGAGCAGCTGATGTGTGATCTCTTCTTTAGTTCTCATGGCCAGTAATGCTAAAGTGAAGTAGTTTTGCTTTTCTGTAGTTTTTCAATGGCTCTCGGTCATACCGACGTCATTATGAACAGTCGAAAGCTGCGCATTTATTGCATGGACGGAGCAAAAATGTAAATCCTCATTTGCCGATGGAGAGGAAAAGTTAAATACTATAG